CCAGGCTGGTCTCAAACTCCTGGACTCAAGTGATCCCCCTGTCTCCGCCTCCCAAAGTGCCGGGATTACAGGCATGAGCCACCGTACCCCGCCTATCATCAAGTTATAAACAGTCTATCTGTACATTGTTTGAAAGGTGAGGCCAATAATAACACATTTCCTTCTCTCTCTCCACCCTTGTTTTGTGTACAGTGATTCCACTCAGTTACAACAGCTTCATAACCAAGTCTTACTGGAACAACACCAGTTGCAAAACCCATCTCCTTCATCTCCTAAGGAGTTTCCTTTCAACATGAGTGTTTTGAACTCCACTGCTCCCCCAGCGGTGACAACATCCAGTAAGCAGGTGAAGGCTCCTTCATCACAGACGTTCAGCTTGGCCCGGCCGAAGCATTTCTTCCCCTCCACGAACACCACCGCAGCAACCGTGGCCCCTTCCAGCTCTCCGGTGTTCACTTTGAGCAGCACTCCTCAAACTATTCAGAGGACAGTGAGCAAAGAAAGCCTCTTAGTGTCTCACCCCTCCATGCAAACCAAATCTCCAGGAGGGCTTTCCATCCAAAATGAGCCACCCCCACCAGGCCCAACAGAGCCAACACCACCACCACTCACATTTTCCATCCCCAGCGGAAACCAGTTTCAGCCCCGCTGTGTGTCCCCAACTCCTGTCTCTCCTACCAGCCGGATTCAGAACCCCGTGGCTTTTCTCAGCTCTGTTCTGCCTTCTCTCCCTTCCATCCCACCCACAAATGCCATGGGACTGCCTAGAAGTGCACCATCCATGTAAGTGTCATTGAGGTTTCTTGATGTAAGATGCTAGTTAAGAGGCGATATGTGCGTTGAATAGCTTGATCTGGGACAGGGCTCTCATTTTGTGGATTCCTAGATAATCTTATTCTCTTAGACACAGAATGGATGTGGAACACTTCAGGACAAAGGAGATGATTACTTTGAATGATTATTAATAATTAAAATATCAGGCTAGGTGTGGTTGCTCATGCCTGTAATCTCAGCACTTTGGGAGGCCGAGGAAGGTGCATCACTTGAGGTCTGGTGTTTGACAGCAGCCTAGGCAACAAGGTGAAACCCCCGTCTCTAGGAGAAACACAAAAAATTAGCTGGGCGTGTTGGTGCATGCCTGTAATCCCCGCTACTCAGGAGGCTGAGGCAGAAGAATCACTGAACCCAAGAGGCAGAGGTTGCGGTGAGCCAAGATCGTACCACTGCACTCCAGCCTGGGTGGCAGAGTGAGACTCTGTTTCAAAAAAAAATTTTGTTTTAATTAAAATACCAAAAAGACGTTTACAAATACTGATTCTCTGCACAGGGCTTAATTCCCTAAGTGCCTAATGACTGCTGGTTTCTGGTTGTCACTTC